CGCCCTGCTTCATCCACCCTGACCTGCCAGGGCTCCACCGCCAGGGTCAGTTATGCTTGCAATGGTGACGGCACCCAGGGTGATGCCAACACCGCCGGCTGTGAGCTCTTGCCTCAGCTTGGGCGGGCTCCTCCCACCGTTCCTCTGCCTGCCCATGCTCCCTCTCTCTCCTCCCCTCCTGCTCCCTTTCCACCGCCGCTGCTGCTTCCATCTCGCCGGGAGCAACACTCCTGTTTGGCCCAACCCGCAGCTGGGGCAGAGCCAGGAGGATGCTTGCCGTGGCCTGAAAGGGGCACGAGTCTGTTTGTGTAGGGGTACTTTCTCCCTCCTCCTTCTGAATTTGGGGAGCTGTGGCCTCCGCGGAGGCTGGACCAAAAGCAGGCATGATGCTGCCCCATGAGATTGGGCAGCACTCTGCCCCAACTCAGATGACCCCCCCCAACTGAGATGTTGGGAACATTTTTGCAAGGGGGCAGCAGGGGTGTTCCACCCTCCTCGACTCCTCAGCCCAGAAGTGAAATGGAGGACAGGAGGTGACATGGAATTAACACCTGCCTCACTTTCACTGTGTTTATGTGAATGCAGCCTTGCCTGCTTAGGAGGCTGAGAATGTTTTCTTTATTTGCTGCACTTCTTCTGCCACCTTTCTCCAGCACAGAAGGGAAGGCCTCCAGCTCTCCACTTACCCCCAGTTTGACACTGCCGTGTTTTCTGCCCCACCAACCATCATAGGCACCAGCCATCGATAGATGTAGCTCTGATGATGTGCCTTCCCCCCCCCGCTGCCTCCCCCCCTCAAAATGAAAACTGTGGGCCAGGTGTGTCTCTAGGTCTGGCAGAGGTGGCATAATCTATATGAGGCCGCTGGGAGGGGTCATCCGGGGGTGTGGAGCTCGGTGTCATCAGTACGCTGATGATACTCAGCTCTACATCTCCTTTCCACCCACCGCAGGAGATGCCGTTCTGTCCCTTCAGCGCTGCCTGGGGACCGTACTGAAATGGATGCAGGAGAACGGGCTGAGGCTGAACCTGGACAAGACGGGGGTACTAAGGGTGGGTGTCCCCACAGTGGGGGGGCTTGGGAAACTCCCTCTCCTTTGGGGGGTGACCCTCCCTACCAAGGATGGGGTCCGCAGTTTGGGGATCCATCTGGACCCAGCGCTCATTATGGAATCCCAGGTGGCGTCCGTGGTGCGAACCTCCTTCTACCATCTTAGGCGGATAGACCAGCTGCGGTCAAATCTGGATGTTGGGGCCCTCACCACCTTGGTGCATGTGCTCGTAATCTCAAGATTAGACTACTCTAATGCGCTCTACGTGGGGCTTCCTTTGAGGCTGCTGCGGAAACTTCAGGTGGTGCAGAATGCTGTGGCCA